ACTGCTGGTCAGACATCTGTTGGCTTTTTCCTCAACAACTTTAATTTGAGCCCTGAGGAACAGTGCCAGCTGTCTTTCATAAGACTGAAACTGCTGCTTTAGTTTCGTGCAGTGGTTCAGGCTCCACTGAGCTGCTCAGACGCTCGGCAACAATGCAGACTTTTGTCACAGCGGCCTGCCAGAGAAACACTTCGACCAGTTSCTTTTACTTTGTTCAAACGATTACAGCAGCAGTCCAGGATTTCAATGAGTTTCCTGTTGATTCACTGTCATCCTGCACTCAACTCCTCGTACTTATGAAAGAAATGATTTTAGGTTTTGTAATTAGACTGTGCAGCTCTGCAGTCTGTGATCCTTTAAACTTTGCTTCAACCTTTTATTTCAGTATTAAAGTTGCTTTCTGTTGTGGAGTTTTACTAAATGTAATTACTCTTATGTTGCAGCAGCTTTTTGCAGGTGTAGTGAGTGTAATCAGACCACAGCTTTGTTGTGTTCTGACACCATCTTATAAACAACTCTGGCTTTCTTTGATTGTCTGCCTTTCAGAGAGACTAATGAATACAGCGTGTTGAAGTCTGCTGCTATTTGTGGAAACAGAAGAGTCTTTATATGAGGAAAATSGAAAGTTGGACCAAATGCGGCAGATTATATTCTCAGAAATCATTCCCAATTATTCCTGCTGGAAACAGATCACTTAGTTTTACTGTGGTTTAAATCTTCTAGCAGCTGTGGACTGAGCAGGCTGGTTTTGTTTTTCTGTTTTTCACTAAACTTGATCAGTCTTGAGGACATTGACGTCCATTTTCTCAGAAATATAAACCAAAAGCTAAACCATGCAGAAGGGCTGGYCTCTTGTTATAAAAAAGAGCCATTTTGTTGTTGGTTTGCTTTAAACAATATTACATAATTCAGCTCTGGAGCAACAACCTTTGTTCTTTACCCAGAGTCTTTGGGTTCAATTGTGATGAACCGTGTTATTGGGTTGTACTTTTTAAATGAAGCTTTTAACACAAAATTTAATTATACTATAAAACAAAACAAAAACACAAGTTTTAACTGAAAAAATCCTGTATGGTTGCAGCTTTTGTTTGGTCTTGTTGGCATTTTTTATTTATTTATTTTTAAGTTTTGGGCAATTGATATCCTGAAATTAAAGGTATTTTTTAATTTATTTTTTTTATAAAACCATATTCCACAATGGCGGTTCCTAAAGGGTGTTTATGCAGATTGTGATAGGCTAATTGTTCCAACTGTTTTAATCATCTGACATGGACCACTTTTATAAACACTGCGATCTAAAATATGTTTGTGTGAACTAAAATATGTTTGTGTGAATTAAAAAAAATTAAGCAGGAAAGGGACATGGGATGTGTCTTTTGTGAATATTTGAGTCTAGCTAAAATGGGCAGATTCAAAAAAGAAATTTGATTATTGTACTTTTTACTTTGTTTACTTCTTATAACACCAGCATGTCAAAGTGACACGCTGGATTGTTCTCTAACGGTGGTCAGTGTGCTTTCTATGACAACCATCTCCTTCATAAAGAAAAAAAAAAGAGAAAATGTATTGTTTTTGTCACAATTGAGTTCTAAAACACTGCACTGTCCACAGGAAAACTTGCATCTATTGTCCTCTAGTTTTGTCCAAATGTTTCTCAGTAAAAAAAAGCTTCCTAGCAGGTGGTTGTGTGACCCAAACCTTTGAGCATGTCAGGTTAGAGGGAGCTGTGGGTAAAGTCGGAGTAAATAAATCCTGCAGCAGGGCAGGCCTGTGATCTGTGTCACAGTTTGGTCACTGCCAAGACATGGTGAGGACTTCCTGATGTGCTTAATCAGGCAAAGAGCTCATTATTGAATTATATTATTGAATTATTTAATTGCTGAACTGACATGGTTTTAAAATGAAACCAAACAAGATAAGGCAGACATTTCAAATTATTATTTTTTCTTTGTGAAACACAGTAAATGGTGTTGTCTGTGATGCGTTGGAYTAAAGCAGGGTTTAGTGTCTTTCAGTTAAAAACCTACCGTTACCTCTTCCTTCCCCTTTCCTTTCTGTTTCTTAAATCAGGATTYTTTTTTTAAACTTCTGCTCTCAGTCCGTCACATGAAACTCATGAGCCCCTGAGTTCTAGTGTTGTGATCCACAGCAGCAGGTCATAGTTAAGCAATCCAGCTATTTCAATAACCTTTGTAAGGAAGTGACAACTCTCAAAAACTCTGCCAGAATAGTTTCAAAAGCTTTAAAGAAATGAAATCAGTACTGAAAACTTGCCAGCATTTTAAAAATGACTTTGAAATGAATTTATTCCAGCGTCCTGACAGGTAAATGAAAGCCACATAATTGAGAAACTATCTATTGTTTGTTCTGAACATTATGACCTGTTTTAAACCCCTCCTTCGCTGTGTAACCTGTGAGCTTAGCACGACACAGCTGGGACACAAACCTACTTTTGTCACAAATGTAATATTTTTTTATTGCACATATTTGTTTCTTACTTTTAGTGATGACAAATCTGGAGCTTTTTACCATCTTTCCAAATGTTAAATGTATATTTAAGGAATAAAAAAGGCATAAAATATCGGTAGTTTGGGTTCCCCYTCTGTCTGCACAGAGCTTCACTGACCTAACACCAACAGAATAACTGCAGAATAATCACATTTTTCCTGAACACTATGCAGCTCGTGTCATTTCAGAGGCTGTAGTTGTTCGAAGAGTCCTGGCAGACAGCTGATCTCCATACAAAACATTCTGCCTTGCTGGTTCATCAGCATTCTTGAGAACAGGACGGTTTCAGTACTGTTGGGCTGTTTTTCCTTCCAGAACACAGAGTCTGAAAAGAACTTGTCGAGCTGGTTTTTGTTTTAGATTCCTAAAAATGCCCYCATGCATCGAGGTGAAGGTGATGGAAGGCAACGTCTAATATCGGTGCTAGATCTTCAGATTGCTGAAGTGATAAACAAAACCCTTCAACTAAACAGAAATATCTCGTCTTTGAATAAAGGTAGTCACTCAAATAAATAAATAAATAAATAAAAAATTAAAATGCAGAATTGTAGGAAAAGTGCAAAAAACCCATGAATTTTCAGCTGCAGTCGCATTGAACTCTTGAGAGTTTGTGACCAAGAGACCACTGAACCAGGTCACATTTTAATAATTAACCTTCGGTTCTGTGCTTCCTCGCCAGTTTTACAAGACCTTATGTTTTCTGTCACAGCAAATCCTCCAAGCTGGGGTCAAATTATCGTAATGCAGCTCTAACACTCTTTGAGTTGAAAAAATGCCTTGAACATGTTTAAAACTTAACTGGTAATCGTACTTCTGGAAATCTAGGGACATTCAGGAGACTCCCTCATAAATACTCACGTCCCAGTGAGATACCAAATAAAACCAGTCCTCCTGAACAAACCCGCTCAGTCAGGGATCCATGTTCAAGTTTTTCCTGAGCTGTAACTGGTCAGACMTGTACTTCCCACCTTGAAGAATGAGGGGGTGCTCAAAAACAGAAACTATTTAATCCTTTTTCTTACAGTTAAAAAAATGTATGTTTGAGCCACAAAGCAACGTGCCATGTTGTGTGGTCAGTGCTGCCTTAGTGTTAATGGTAACACTGAGTTATCGGACCATAATTTAAACACTTTCACTGCAAATCTAGAAAAACAAACTCTCCTACTGTAAGTATACGTTTTAATGATTCACATATCTTCTGTCTGGTGTTTTGTCTTCATATCGAAGTAATATTTTAAGGTTGTTTTCAGGAAGCTGAAGCAAAAATGATCAGAGCTTTGTTCACGGGAAACACCTTCAGCCAGATCTGCTGTTAWTTTAGTCTCACGTGTTGTTAGAGTACTGTGGGGATTAAAACCTGTAATGTGAAGAACATTTCCTGTTTGTTCGATCTTATTTATGTTCACCTTTTTTCACCTAAATGACAGAAACATGTCTTTATCTTTTAAATTTATATTCTGTATCTGCACAGGGCTAAKTAACCTTTAGTTTCTGTCTGAATAACTAACACTTACCAGTAATTTGTTGTGAAATCAAGTCCACTGGTGTGTGAGTGGCACATCATTTCCTGTAGCAGCAGACCATTTATATTAGGGAATGTCCTCCTTAATACTTTGTATTAGTTTGTATTAGGAAGTTGTTTGAACAGAGCTTAATTCAGAAGAATAATTCAGTACTGCCAGTTTGATTAGACCCCTAAACTTTGAACACTTGGCTGACTATTTAAAAAAAACTTGTTGACACAAACATGTGCACAGACATGGACTTTGATGCGTAGCCAGAAAAATTATCTCGTAATCCTTGCTGTGATGTTTGTTTGGTTTCTACAGTTCTTGAAACAGAATTTCCCCCTCTATCTAATTCTAGTCAACTATTTGCAAATACTTGTAAGATATTTCTTTGTTGACATGAAATTCTCTGTCCAAATGCTTCTCCACTACAATAGCTCATTGTGTTGCAGCTGACCAGAGGCTGACTGGCTGGGGACGGAGGTGGCTGGCAGTCTGCCCGGCTGGCCAACAAGCTCACTCCTGACCCATGTGACAATGAGTGGTTCGGTTGAGTCTGTAAATGAGTGAAGCAGTGTGACCTCATGTCGTTTCTGCTGTCCGGACAAAGCGTATGAGTGGCAGATGTCAACAAGCCATTACCTTAATTCTGTTTTTACTGCCCGAGGATCTCAGAYAGATGGGGGAAAAGAGCTTAAATAGTTGACTCTTGTTGTGAAAACGGTGGCGAAAGATCTCGGCAACAAGATGTGCTCAATTACCTTTTTAATTAATAATGTGATGAGCTTCTCAGCAAATGTTGAAAACAATTTTTCTTTTCTGTTTGCTCTTTTCAGACTGACTCTGAAATGACCAGCCAGCATCCAAGCCATGCAGAAAGCTCTCAGTCCACAGACAGGCAGCTGCCCTCTGGGGCCGCCCGACTCAATGTCCAGCAATCGCCGTCAAAGGACAACATTACCATCCACTTCTCGCTTGGGAAAGAGGAAGAGGAGGAGGAAGAGGAGCTGTACACTACATCAGTGTCCACTAGCTCAGCTGCTCTGAAAGACTCTACCATTGTGACAGCCGTAGAAGCGAGTGAGGACATGTTTGAAGGAGGTCCTCTGGATTCAGCTGCTGAATCATCTAGACTTTCTCCCAGTTCTAGAAATCACACTAACCGTTCTCCGACACATGTCCCTGAGCAAAAATCCTTTACTGTCAATTCTTCTCCCATAAAATCTTTGAGCTTTACCTCCAGTGACAAATCGTTTAAAAGTATGGTTAAGTCTTTCACTTCTGACGTCGAGTCTCGTGAAGGAATCCCTTCTGCTCTAGCTCCAACCATAAAACACAGACCTCTCATGAAAACCCTTGTCAAATCGTTATCGTCAGATACGTCCCAAGACCCATCCTCCTCTTSTGCGTCCTCCCGTCTTCCTGAATCTCGCCTTAACCTGCAGCTCTTAAAGCAACTTGCACAATCCAAGATGCCATCTGTGGCRATGACGTCAGTGAGCGATTCTAAAACTGCGCCGTGTTCGCCGTTGATCTCGCCGGATAACCGGAGCTTCTTCAAAGTCTCGGAGGTGGAAGCGCGATTTGAAGACACCAAACGCCGTCTCACCGAGGCCATTTCTGAGCCGCTCCATTTTCTGGGCAAGATCATGGACGAAAAGAGTGGCGGGTTAGTCGGCAGCAGTATTTACCGACCCAAAGGGCTTTCTGCCAGTGCCACTGAACTCTCCACCCTCGCCTCAATCAGCGACCACCCGGAGAGCAGCAACAACAACAACTGCATCAAAGAGGAGGAAGGTGACTTGGAGGCTGAAAGCCCCAACAGCTGGACCTCCGTTACAGCCGAGTCACAGAATGACCCCTCTGTCAACACTAAGAGCTCTGCCAAGACATCTTCACTGTCCATGTCTGCTCTTGCAAAACAGGAGGATGAGGAATTCTGCATCCTGAACAGCGAAGACTTTGAGATTTGCACTGACACCGAGGGATCCAATGGACTTACTCGAACTGGTAGTCGAGCACTGCTAAGTGATAGTTCTGACCCAAACTGTGACGATGAATGTGAAGACACTGAACCAGCACCAGATATCCCATACTATACTCTTGTGGTCCTTACCTTTCTGGTCTACGGATGCTTTGTTTTACCTCTGCCAAGTTACATTGGCGGGGTGCTGCTTGGGGTTGGGCTTGGATTCTTTATAGCCATGGGTGTCGTGTGGCTGACGGGACCAAAGTGCTCCGGCATTGAAGTCAGACATTCCAGAAACCAGGGGAAGCCTTTGAAGCTGGATATTAAAGAACCAGAAATCTACAAGGTTTGTTTGTCTTTCARACATTTTTATTTAATTCAAACAAATCAAACAAATGAAATCAACATTTTTAGAGTTTGACAGCATTGTTTCAATCAATCAAAACTTTATTTATATAGCACTTTACACACCCCAAGGCAGCCAAAGTGCTGCACAACAAAATAAAAATACAGTAATATAAAAT